AATGTTCTGTTCTCATTTCAGTTACAACAATGTTTCTAAGTTCTTGTTCCAGGCTATGAAAGTCATGTCTCATACGCCTATTGGCCCATATGACCAAGAATATATCACTATATATAAAAATATTTGGTATCAAAATATGCTAACCACGTTTATATGAAAAAAAAAAAAGTTTTCTTAGCCAGAGTAGTCAAAACATTCAGCAAACCTTACATCTTAGAGAACAATCAATATTTTACAAGTATATTTTGTCATTTCATTCATTTAGAAACCTGCAATACAGATTATAACACTTAATTTCATACCAATATATTCAAATTCCTCCTTCAGGGACATTCCATCATGAGACTCGCAATTTTTGCAGATCAAAGCATAACGATTGCTAGGCCCATCACCAACCAAATTCTCCACAAGCTTGTCGAGGTAGCTGCGATCCCTTGGCAGAATGGGTCGAGGCATGGGAAGAGCAGGACCTGTAACAACATTTCATGCTGCTCTGAAATTAGATATTGATTATGTAACTATTCACATACAAATTTTTCCATTATGAACATTATGAGACACTGCAAATATGTAATTCCTTTCTCTCACATGTAACATCTTCTCACATAAGCTCTATTTCCAATGGCACAACACACAACCGAAGTCAAACACCACTTTTACAACACCGTGAATAAGAATTTCAACAGATTTATTATACACATTTCAAACAATATGCAGTGGTCCCTCGACATGCCACTGATTCTGATATACCATGGCAGTGATCATGTTCCCAATATAATTACATATATTTTACGTCATACAAATTTTTATGAAGTGTTCTAGTTACATTATAATACTGCACTGCAATATTCCTTGCTGTAGACTGCAGGTACAGAGGGTCAATAAACAGGAATGTGTCTACCAAAACTGAGCAAGTTAGAAAATATTAATGAAGTGACGTTAGGGTTAAAGCAACAGACCCACAGAGAACACCTTCATCTGCTGTATCTGATTAATATTAAGCTCACTCACTCAAGGAGCTGAGCACTTCTTGAGAAACCACCAATTGTGCAGCTACTCAAGAAATTTCCAGCATTTTGTGGAAACCAGAAGGATTATTACCATGTTCACAAGAGCCCTCCACTGATCCCTATCCTGGGCCAGATCGATCCAGTCCACACCATCCCATCCTATCTCTTTAAGATACATTTAAATACTGTCCCACCCACCTATGTCTTGGTCTTCCTAGTGGTCTCATTCCTTCTGGATTTCCCACCAATATCCCGTATACATTCCTCTTCTCCCCCAGTTGTGCTATGTGCCATTCCCATCTCTTTCTCGACTTGATTGTTCTAAGTATACTTGGTGAAGCGTACAAGTAATGAAGGTCCTAATTATGCAGTTTCCTCCAACCTCAGGTCACTTCACCTCTCTTCGATCCAAATATTCTCCTCAGCATCCTTTTCTCAAACACCCTCAATCTGTGTTCCTCCCTTAATGTCAGAGACCAAGTTTCACACCCATACACAACCACAGGCAAAATTACAGTTTTATATATTCTAATTTTTATGTTTCTAGACAGCAGATGAGAAGACAAAAGGTTCTTGACTGAACTGTAGCAAGCATTACCTGAATTCAATCTCCTCTCAATTTCCTCCTGAATCAGGTTTTGATTTGTTACAGTTGTTCCCAAATATCTGAACTATGCCACATTTTCAAACCATCTGTTTGCTATCTTTATATCATGATTCTGCCCTGCTTTCTGGTGATGAAACAGCAACACATACTTAGTCTTCTCTGTGTTTACTTCTAGACCAACCTCTTTACTTGCGTCTAAAGTTTCTGTGTTTTTCTTTATGGTATCTATATTATCACCAAGTAGATTCACATCATCAGCATAGACCAGCAGCTGATGTGGCCCATTTAATTTCAGTCCCACCTGGTTTTCCTGGACCTTTCAAATGGCATATTCTAAAGCAAAGTTGAAAAGCAGTGGCAATAAAGGATCTCCTTGCTTTAGACCATTCTAGATAGGGAAATTATCAGACAAATGTTTACCTACATGGACTTTACTATATGTTTCATTTAAACGCATTTTAATCAGCCTAACTAGTTTCATGGGTACCCCAAACTCTATGAGAATACTGTGCAGTACTTCCCTCCTAACTAAATCATAGGCTTTCTTGAAGTCTACAAATAGCTGATATATTATCTCACTGTACTTCCATTTTTTCTTCCAGTATCTGACAAATGCAAAAGATCTGATCAGTAGTTGATCTGTTACATCATAACCTGTACTCATGATCCCAAATAATTTCATCTATGTATAGAATTAACCTTGGAAGAAGAATGTTGGATAACATTTTGTATGAAGCTGATAGCAGTAATATCCCCCAGTAATTACAATAGTCAATTTTAACATCCTTCTTGTGAACTGGACCAATAATAGATTCCTGAAATGCAGTCATCAGTTCTAACAAACTACATTACATGACTATTCTTGTAAGGAGGCTTAAACTAAGTAATTCAGTGGTCTGTGCCACCAGCATTGGTGAAACAGAAGTCTGAGATGTGCTTTAAATGTCATGCATTTTAGCCACTGGATAAACATACACAACATGTGATTCCAAAATGAGATAAATGTAAATTTTGCATAAAATATTGGTATTGAAGATGTCCTCAGAAACCCGTATTAACATCAAGGGTCCACTGTATATCAGATTCACCTAACCTAATTTTATTTAACGACACTGTTAGTAGCTCTGCTTATATATACTGTGAAAATATAATACTGAATATGTCCCCAGAAACCTGAATTTACAAGGGTCCACAGTATATCAGATTCATCTAAGTTAATCTTCATTTATTTAATGCCACTGTTATGAACTCTGCCTACATAGTGTCAAAAGATAATATTAGTATGTGTGAAGTAATATAAAAATTTGTTACACATGAAGATTGCTGTCTTCTGGGATGTAACAGGATGTAAACTCGCAGATGGTTACCAACATTTTGGAGGAATGTTCTGCATCTGTCTTCAGGTTAAAAGAGCAGTATGAGCAGTAAGATGGAGGCAGCATGTTCCTCTGAAATGTCGATAACTGTCCACTAGACCAAACAGTGTCACAGACCAGAATGCAGTAATCTTCAGTCACCACGGTGAGAACCTCAAATCTCACTGTCACACATTTTCTGATGCACACAAAAGTAGTCAGAATTACAATTAATACCTTCATTTTACTGGTATTACTTTTATTATGAAAATAAAGAAACTTACGCTGAACAATGCCTTGCCCATTTGCTTGGCCAGATGTCAAATACACTGCTGCATCCCGTAATACCGGTGGCTGTACTGGGCCTGGAGGTTGCAGTGGTGATCGCCTCCTTACATCAGTACCAGGAGAATGAACGGCGATGGAACCAGTGGTACTCATAATTGGAGGTGATGACTTGTGTGGAGTACTAGTGTTAAGTGAAGCTATGGTAGCTCGTCGATGGACTGACAAGTCTGGAGATCCACTAAATTTCGCTGGTATACCTACACTCTGTGAATGATAACATTCACAAAATACTGGTCATCACAGACTGCAGTCAAGTGCTAAAACTCTAAAATAAAAATGGCTTGCATCTGTTTTTCCTGTAGAATATTCCCTGTATGACAGTTGTAATCAATGCAAATTTTCATCATGCTTATTCTCATTCTTGGGTTTCCAACTGATGCTACATCCCACCTCAAATAATTTTATTTTTGTTCTGGTCCATTAGTCCTCCCAGATAAGGAAGAATGAATACACTTCCGAGGTGGGAGTAGACACACACCAGAATGATGACGGTGTCATATGTTAGTGACTAGATGCTGGGGTTTGGATTGGCAATTGGATATATTTGACTTTTTATAACTCATAACCACAAAGAATTATAACAGTTTCACTGCTCTATATACTTCAAAAATCACTACAGCACTCGCTAAATCTTCTCAGTCTGGCATGCCTAGTAATGGACCCCAACAATATCCTTTTCTGCTCATGTCACTACTAGCTGGCAAAGGCCTCACTCCTAACCCACTGCTCCAAATGTATCCTCACATTCTTGAATGACTGAAAGTCGGTCAGTTGATTAAATTGCTTCTGGCTTTGCCAGCACAGTCGTTCCTGGTTTCAGTCTCATTGAGGTCCATGATCAAGATTTCTGTTTGCTTCTGGACATGTAGTATTTAGAAATGGGGATTCCTCTTTGACAAAGGAAGGGTTGGTCTTTCTGGGTAGGTGCTACATTTATTGCACAACTGAAAGCCCCAAGAGGTTCTCCTTATATAGTCTCAGCACAGACCCAACACAAAGCACCATTTCCAGCAGATCCTCCACTGTTGCATCACATGTTTATTGAGCCATTGTCTAGCACCAGATGGCTTCTCTTGTTAACTATATCATCACTATGTCACATTACTTCCTCCTTAATGCTGTTGGTGACAAGAAGCATACAGGCATACTGACATCTATTTTTCTCTTTGAGAGGGAGGTCCACAATGTCCTGTGGCTAGATTTCCAGAGCTGGACAGAAGACCTGACTATAAGCTTTGTGATCTCTAGCTCCAGGGTCTGCTTGAGGATCTTTCTTCCCACACACAGCTGAAGTTTTATGCCTAGGTCTCTTATGCCACTGCTGCATAGTTTCATCTGTTTCTTTTTTCAAGAATGTCAGTCCTTTCAAGTAGGAGGTCGCCCAATTATAGTGTTCAACTACAGCCTCTATCCTTTCTCAGTTGGCCTCTGACTCTTCCAGGCAAGCCTCCATCTTGGTTTCTAACTCTTCCTGACTGGCCTCCATCTTTTTCTGCCAGGCATCCATTTTCTGTTGGTTAGCCTCAATCTTTTCTTGAACGGCTTTCACCTCAGCCTTCATTTTGGCTATCATCTCTTCTTCATGGCATCCATCTTGGCTGGCCTTCATTTCTTCCTGAATGGCCAGAAGGCATTCTATTATATGTTCCATTTTCATAGTATGGCAATATAACTATCCACTGCAGTGTTCAATCTAATCCAATTACTCTAATATATCCCATTTCTGACACCACTTGTTACGATTTCAGTGACGAGACACGGAGTTTGGATTGGTAACTGGATTTAACAAACACTTATAACTCATAACTACAAACAATTACAGTACTATCGCTAATTCTTGCACCTTACTTCTCACTACAGCACACACCAAGTCTTCTCAGTTCATCTTCAATAGCTGTTGCTAGGTTACAGCTCACATTCTGTGCTCAATGGCTCCTGTACTTGCTGGCTGGTGATTCCATAACTAACTCAGAACAGTTGATCGGTCACTTAGACTGCTAGTGGCCATCACCAGCAGAGTCATTCTTGGCTTCAGGTCTCCTTGAGATCCATGACCAAGATTTTTGTTCCCTCCTGTACATGTATATGTTTAGAAATGGTGCTTCCTTTTCAACTGAGAGGTGGGCACTACATTTTGTTGCACCGTAGTTTCACCACAAGTGTACCCATGCTGTCACAACACCCAGGTCACTATGGACTCTGTGCACCCTTTGTCACTGCACTATAATATACTAAGTAACATTCATACAAGATACAAAGAGGTTTCCTATCAATGCAGACTTGTGCAGCAGGTCATGACTTCAATTACAAGGTGGTTCAAATATGACCGGGGCTGATTTGTGTGTAAACAAGCACCACTGTGCAGCAGCTGTGTGACCTTGAGAGAGTGAAGCCACAACCTCCACCCTCCTTCCTGTTCGGGTTAGAACCTGTTCAGTCCTGTCTGGGAATTGCTAGAGTGATGAGCAAACAGAAGGTACCGTAGAGCGTGGAACAACGCATTGTGATCAAATCCCTTGTTGGAGAAAACGTCCCATCTGCTGAAATTCACCAGACTCCAACAACAGTATGCGGAAGAGTGTCTCTCACGGACCCGTGTGTTTGAGTGGTGTAAGTGCTTCAGAGAGGGCAGACAGAGCGTGGAGAATGAACTGCATGATCGTCGGTTGCGAACATCCGTCAGCGAGCCAAACACTGATCGTGCAGACGCACTTATTCATGAGAACAGGCACATCACTATCAAGGAACTTGGAGCAATGCTGTCCATCAGTGTTGGCAGTGTAGAAGACACTGTGAAATATAACCTGCACTATCGCAAGGTGAATGCACGGTGCGTACCACACACTTTGACAGATGTGAACAAAATGGTGCACATGCAAGCTGCCAGTCGTCTCCTACAGCAGTTTGAAGATGGTGATGCATTTTTGAAGTCTATAGTGACCACCGATGAAACGTGGGTGCACTACTTCATTCCCGAGTCCCAGAAGTCATCAAACGAGTGGCAGTATACCAGTTCTCCCAAACCCAAGAGAACGCGGAGGAGCCGTTCGGCAGGAAAAGTGATGGCAACGTTCTTCTGGGACTGGCAGGGGGTTATCCATGTATACTTTCTGACAGATGCCAGAACAGTCAATGCAGCTTATTACTCAGATCTCCTGGCAACAGATGTGAAGAAAATGTTCCGATCCAAGCGGAAGACAGGTGGAAAGTGGGTAGCCTTCCTTCAAGACAATGCACGCCCCCATACAGCCAAAACAATGGAAACCCTCTGGAAATTGAAATGGAACCTCCTGACACATCCGCCGTACAGTTCCGATTTGGCCGCAAGTGATTTCTACCTGTTTGGAAGGCTCAAATCAGACTTGCAAGGCATGCGGTTTGTGGATGACACCGTCATCCAGACCGTTCGGGATTGGATACACTGCAAACAACAAAACATTTTTGATAAGGGCATCAGGATGCTTCCAGAATGTTGGGAAAAAAGGGGTTGACTCTGGAGGGGAGTACGTTGAAGACTGACATGTGCAAGTAAGTGTTTGGCAATTATGGTTTTTAAAAAAGAATCAGTCCCGGTCATATTTGAACCACCTTGTATTTAACCATGGCAAAACAGCAGTTAATTCGCTGATCAGCTGTAGGTCTAGATGCTGCCAACTTTAAGCCTCTTGCAATTCCTATCAATGACTTCCCTTGTCCAATAACATATACATTTGGATTTACATGGTTTAGGATTACTTCTGCCTGTGTCCTGCACAATTTACTTATGTAGCCATATACATAATTTGAAAACAATGTGCAATTTGCAGATTCCCTAAATACCACATGAAAATTTTGTTAGATTTCAATGCCAAAGTAGGTAGGGAAGACATTTTCAAACTCCAAACACGTTACATTGCTCCCTTCTAAAGGTTGTTCATCCCAAACAGCATAAAGGTTCTTTCTTTGTTTCGGGTGTTCACCTTCCTAATGGTATCTCCACCCTACTTTCATTTTGATGTACGATTCTTCCATCTGTACAATGTCCCCACATCATAACATTCATAAATTTACTTGGACATCTCCTGATGGAAAGACACACAACCAAACTGACCATATGTTGATAGATAGGAGAGAGCATTCAAGTATACTTGATATCCAATCTTTCAGGGCAGCAGATTGTGATACTGACCACTATATGGTGATGGCAAAAGTTTGGGGAGAGACTGGCGCTGAACAAACAAACAATGCACAGGGTTCATATGAAGAGACACGTTGAGTGGTAGTGTGCGAATCTGAGAGCTCCTTAATTTAAGTACAAAAGAGCAGTTTCATTTGGTCAGTAGTAAAAAATAAGTGGTTATCTTCTTTAACAAGTGTGCTATAGTGAACCTTATATTTAAATTTTTTTCTATACTGAACGTTTTCTTCCTTTTTTTTACTCTTAAGCCACGCTTAGCTCCTAGGCCATTTTCCGCCATATTGTGAGCTATTAGTATCTGATCTTCCGCTCAACGCTCCTAAAACTGCATTTTTTTAACTTCAACTTTCTGTTAATATAGATTAGTAGTAGAATTAGTAAACATACTTGTTATTTTATATCTTAAATACGGTGATTTGTATTTTCATAAGTGTACTGGTAGGCCTAACCTACAAGTAGTGTGTTACTTTGTCTTAAGGAAGCTGATTTGCATTTTCGTAAGTATACAGTAGGCCTAACATACAAGGAGTGTGTTATTTTATATCTTAAGGAAGTCGATTTGTATTTTCACAAGTGTTATTTATATCTTACATAAATTGTTTGTATTTTCGTAAGTGTACAGTAGGCCTAACCTACAAGAAGTGTGTTATTTTATATCTTTAGTAAGTTGATTTGTACTATTGCAAGTGTACCAGTGGGCCTAACCTAAAATAAGTGTATCATTGTATATAGTGGGCCTTAAAAGATTTGTGCCAGCATATACTCTTGTAAGTTCTAATCACAAATTAGACTCTTTAAATATATCTGTTAGTTAGTACTGAATTATAAGTTAACATAAGTGGTAATAATGACCACAAGGGGTAACGACTTATCAGGTAAATGTGGGGCCTGCAGAAGGAAGGTTAGCCAGGGGACAGGATGTGAGGACTGTGGCCTGTGGTTTCATTGGGAGTGCTCTGGCACCAATAGTGATTTGGCCATATTACCTTGGTACTGCAACTCCTGTGTGCAAGCCAAGGTAATAAAGAAACAAGAGGAGACTATCTTGAGTTTGAAAAGGGAGCTGGAACTTGCAAGAACTGAGATTGACCTCTTAAAAGGGGAATTAAATTTAGTAGATAATTGTCCTGAAGAATTTAGGACTGTGTCCAACTCCCGAAGAAAACTTAAAAAAGTTCCTTCTTCACTAGATGTTAAGTTAGCTTTAACCAATCGATTTGAACCTCTAGCTATGCTAGGGCCTCAGACTGATGGTGACGCTATAGATCAGCCTGTGTTAGAGGCTAAGCCTAAGCGTAAGATTCTAGTGCTGGGTAGCAGTCATGGTAGGGGTATCGGGCAGAGGCTACAGAAAGCAATGGGAGATGCATATGCTGTGACCAGCATATTCAAGCCCAATGCTGATCTGAGCAATGTCACTGGGGACATTGGAAAATTGTGCAAAGGTTTTAGTAAGGAAGATCAGGTAGTTATAGTTGGGGGGCCAGGTAACAGTTTGGAGAGAAACCTCAATTATCAAATTGAGAAAGATTTAAGTGACATTGCCCAGAAAACTAGTCACACCAATGTGAGGTTTGTTGGTCTTTTCTGGCGACATGACAAGCCATGGATTAACAGGTGTGTAAGGGAGATTAATCTTCGGCTTGAGCGTTCGCTTGTGGAGGTCGGCGCGGCCCACATTGATGCGATTGATGTCTCTTCAATATTGAGGAGCGAACATACTGTCCATGGTTTGCATCTTAATCCTCGAGGCAAGGACAAGCTGACGCGACTCATTGCAGAGAGCATTAAGGGCAGACACATTCCAGTTGTCATGGGTGTTCAGAATCATTTTTTAGGATAAAGAGTGCAAGTAAAGTTTATCAAGTAAAAGAAATTGCAAAAGAAACTAATCTTTCAGACAATAATGTTAGTGAACCAATAGAAATCGGAAAAGGTAATTGCAGTCTACTAAATTCAGTGAATAATAAAGTACTAAGAATATTCCATCAGAATATAAGAGGATTGAGAAACAAAACAAATGAACTAATAAGCTCCATGAATTCAAATCTTCCACACATACTGTGCCTTACTGAACATCACATGAAACAGCTGGAATTAGAACATCTTCACTTAGAAAATTATAATTTAGGTGCTAGATACTGTAGGAAAACACTGGAGAAAGGAGGAGTGAGTATTTTTGTACATGAAAACCTAAAATTTACTAAAATAAATTTAGAAGATTATTGCAAAGACCAGGATCTGGAAGCATGTGCTCTAAAGTTAGACTCTCCTTTTTCTAATATTTGTATACTGACTTTATATAGAGCCCCATCTGGAAACTTCGATCACTTTATAAATAGATTAGAAACCATCCTAAATGTACTGCATAGTTCAAAAGTTGAATTTATAATTTGTGGTGATATAAATATAAACTATCTCATCGACAGTAATAGGAAACTAAATTTAGACTCTTTGTTATCATCTTACAATCTCTCCAGTACTGTTAACTTTCCCACAAGAGTTCAAAATAATTCTAGTTCAGCGATAGATAATATATTCATTGATAACTCAAAATTAAGAGACTATACTGTAGGACCCTTTATAAATGGCTTATCCGATCATGATGCTCAACTCATAGAAATAAATAATATTGACCTTCAGCCCAGTAATCAACAATATCAAACAGTAAGGAAAATCAACAAGCATACGATGGCAGATTTTGTCACAAAATTAAGTAATGAATCATGGGACAATGTATTTGACAGCAATAATATTGATTCTAAATTTAATTGCTTTCTGAACACATACTTGAGGATCTTTTATTCAAGCTTTCCCTTAAAAATAGTCAAAAATGAAAATAAAAACAAATCCACCTGGATAACAATTGGAATAAAAACTTCATGTAAACACAAAAGACAACTATATTTGGCCAGTAGGGACAGTAATGATCCAAGACTAAAAAGTCACTACAAAATGTACTGTAAAATTTTGTCAAAAGTCATTAAAGAAGCCAAACAGAATAACTATAACAGCCAAATTCTAAAATCAAACAATAAAATTAAAACCACCTGGGATATTGTGAAAGTTGAATCAGGAAAGAAATCTGTTAATGAAGACGTACAAAGTTTGAATATTGAAGGGAAGTCCACTAACAATCCACAAGCTATCGCAAGTGCATTTAATGAATATTTCCTTTCATTAGCTGAGAAAACATATTCCAATAACAACAATACTAATAATAATAATAATAATAATAATAATAATAATAATAATAATAATAATCCAATATACTATCTGTCTCGTGCCTTTAACAATTCATTTCCAAATATCAATCTCAAATTCTCAACAAGGAAGGAAATTGAAAACATTATTAAATCCCTTAAGCCCAAAAATTCACATGGATATGATGAAATCTCTACCAAATTACTTAAAGCAAGCTCTGTTTACATCAGTTCACCCTTGAATCATCTATGTAATAAATCTTTATCATCAGGTACTTTTCCTCAACGCTTAAAATACGCTATAATGAAACCACTTTTTAAAAAAGGAGAGAGAAAATGCATCTCTAATTACAGACCAATATCCATATTGACTTCATTCTCAAAAGTCTTTGAAAAAGTTATGTATAATAGACTACTTGAACACTTAAATTCTAACAACATATTAGTCAAAGAGCAATTTGGATTTAGGAAAGACCTAACAACAGAAAAAGCAACCTATGAACTAACTAACGATATTTTAAGTGCTCTCAATGACAGATTAATTGTGGGAGGGATTTTCTGTGATCTAGCAAAAGCTTTCGATTGTGTTAATCATGATATCTTACTATCGAAATTAAATTTCTATGGAATAACTGGCAAAGCTAATGAATGGATCAAATCATACCTCAAAAACAGGTATCAAAGAGTTGAAATAAATAATAAAAACTCCAGTCATAATGCATTTTCAAACTGGGGAATTATAAAGCACGGTGTTCCACAAGGATCAATTTTAGGTCCCTTACTTTTTCTTCTCTACATAAATGATCTATCTAAAACCATCAACAATAAATCTAAACCAATTCTATATGCAGATGACACTAGTATAATATTTAAGAACTCTAAATTTGACAACTTTAAAAATGACATAAATATTGTATTTGAAGCCTTAAACAGATGGTTCGAAGCCAATTTACTCTCATTAAATTTTGATAAAACCCATTACATATCATTCACAACTAAAAACAACCACCAAATTGATCTGGACATCAGTTATGCCAACAAATTAATCTGTAAAGTACTTGATACAAAATTCCTTGGAATACATGTAGACAGTACACTGTCTTGGAAAATACATATTGAACAAATTATACCTAAATTAAATGCAGCTTGCTATGCGATGAGATCAATTAAGCCTTTTATGTCACAGGAAACATTGAAGATGGTTTACCATGCCTACTTTCATTCTATTATGAACTATGGATTAATATTTTGGGGGAACTCTTCACATAGTGTAATAATTTTTAAAATACAAAAGAATATAATTAGAATCATTACAGGATGTAGAAGTAGAGATTCATGTAGAGAATTATTTAAGAAATTAAAAATTCTACCTCTTCAATCGCAATACATATTACCGCTTCTCTTATTTGTTGTTTACAACAAAGATAAATTCAAATTGAATTCTGATGTCTATAACATGAATACTAGACAAAAATATAACTTCCACCTACCCTCATCAACTTTATCAGTATATCAAAATGAGTCTACTTTACTGGCATAAAAGTGTTCGACAATCTGCCACAAAGTATTAAAAACTTGGGCAATGATACTAGAAAGTTTAAATCAGAGTTAAAGAATTATCTACATGCTCATTCCTTCTACTCTTTAGATGAATACTTCAATGTAAATAGAGAATGATGTAAAATTAAGTTATATTAATTTTTAAGCTAAAATTGCCTGTACTTATTTATGTAACCTTTTGACTTGTTCTGTATCCAAAGGTACTAACCTACTTAGGATTTATAGAATGTAAATAAATTCAATTCAATTCAATTCTCAAGAAATTAAACTAGGTAGAGGGTAAAGAGCAGTATCATGTTGAACTCTCAATTAGGTTTGCAGCTTTGGAAAACTTACGACACTGAGGTGCATATTGATAGAGCTTGGGAAACTATTAGTGAGAATATAACAATTTCTGCCAAAGAGAGTCTATGTTATAGAATGATTTGACTACATTGTCCAATGTGACTCAAATACACACACACATTTGAGTCACCCAGGATGGTGTAGTCAAATCATTCTATAGTAGTGACTAGTGTGACGGACCACAAGGAGTCTAGGTTATTATAAATTCAAGAAGCATAAGCCATTGTTCGATGAAGAATGCTCAAAATTATTAGACCAAACAAAACTATCCAAACTGTAGTGGTTGCAGGATCCAAGAGAAATAAATGGCAATAATTTGAATAAAAGGTGTGAAACCAACAGGTATTTCAGGAACAAAAGAGGGAATATCTGAAAGACAAAACTGATAAGCTTGCAACATACAGTAAGAACAAGAACATTAGAGAACTTTATAGAGGAATAAATGATGTTAAGAGGGGTTACCAGCCTAGAAGTAACTTAGTGGATGAGAATGGTAATTTTCTTGCAGATTCCCACACATTTTGAACAGGTGGAAGAACTACTTCTCTCAGTTATTGAATGTACATAGGGTAAATGATGTTAGGCAGACAGAAATCCATATAGCTGAGCCATTAGTACCTCATCCTAGCCCTTTTGAAGTTGAAATTGCTAATGCAAAGTTGAGAAGGTATAAATTGCCAGGTAGTGATGAAATTGTGACAGAACTGACTCAAGCAGGAGGTGAAATATTATGTTCTAAGATCCATCAGCTAACTAATTCTATTTGGAATAAGGAAAAATTGCTTGATTAGTGGAAAGGGTTTATTACTGTATCAGTTCACAAGAAGGGTGATAAAACTGACTGTAGAAATTATCGTGGGATATCACTGCTATCAACTTCATACAAAATTTTATCTAAAATTCTCAAGGTTAAATACATATATAGATTAAATTATTGGGGATCATCAGTGTGGGTTTGGATGTAACAGATCAACTACTGATCAGATCTTTTGCATTCGTCAGATACTGGAGAAAAATGGGAGTACAATGAAACAGTACATCACCTATTTGTATACTTCAAGAAAGCCTATGGTTCGGTTAGGAGGGAATTTTGTATAATATTCTCATAGAGTTTGGTGTACCCATGAAACTAGTTAGGCTGATTAAAATGCGTTGAAACGAAATGTATAGTAAAGCCCATGAACATCTATCTGATAATTTTCTTATCCAAAATGATCTAAAACAAGATGCATTATTGCAACTGCTTTTCAACTTTGCCTTAGAATATGTCATTAGAAGGGTCCAGAAAAACTAGGTAGGCCACATGAGCTGTTGGTTTCTGCTGATGATGTGAATCTACTGA